AAAAGAACGAGGCCAATATCCAGCCATCTTGACCGAACAAGCTTGTTCAATAAAGGATTTATTATATGGCTTTTGTGGAAATTTCTCTTGCGGGACTCAGTGGGTAGTCCCAAGCGGGCAAGATAGCTCCATCTTGCCCACTTGGGTAGCCAATCACAGTGCAGGATTTGATTCATCTTGCCCACTCACAGAGCTAGCCGTATAATAAATGTACATATAAACTTTATTTAGTCTTGAATTTACAGAGTAGCACCCAGATACTAATATCTTCCAGTTAACTAAGTTAATAACTAATCACAATAAATAAGGTACTTCAGTGTTAGTGCACTGAACTGAACTTTGGATCCAGCAGTCCGGGTTCGAGCCCTGGCCAGGATCATTGTATCGTGTTCTTGGGCAAGACACTATACTCTCACGGTGCCTCTCTCCACCCAGGTGTGCAAATGGGTTCAAACAAACTCTTAGCCAGGGCAACCAACAGAATGTTGTGGGTATCCCTGTGCTGGACTTCACTAGCATCCCATCCAGGGGAATTAGAAATATAGAAACTGGGATACAGTGATTGACTGGTGTTGTTTAGTGACCCGAGTGCTGATTTAAGACTTAATTGCGATTTATCTGAAAACAGTTAAAGGTGAAATTTATTTCCTTTCAGGAGGAAGACGGAAAGAAACATACTTTCAACATTGTGTCACGTAAGTTGATTCTTTGTTATAGAAATCACCAGCATAATAGCTGGAATGTTAAATCTCTGACTCAATATACACTAAATTCGCCTTTTTTTTTACTCTCCAGACAACAGAACATATTTATTTCAAGCTGATGATGAAGCTGACCTGGAAGCGTAAGTGGTTAAATTGATTGCTTTTTCCTGATTAGAGGGTTTGTTCCCTGGCTAGTGCATCTTTTTTACCACACTCAAATTAATAATTAGCCAATCAGAAGCAGTGTCTACTGTCCTGATATCCTGCGATATCAAGTCACTGACCTGATATGGCTATGATATCATGGTCACACTTGGCTGAATTAGGGTACGGTAAATAACTAATCACACCTTTTTGGTATGCTTTGGCAGCATATCCAGCTTGTTTCCAGGTCTCGCCCTGGGTATTTTGGCCAGACTACTTATCTGGCTAAAATTCAAACCATGGCTCGACCAAACTTGCCTGATATGCCACACATTGTTACCAAAAAGGTGTGATTAGGTAACATCAAAAGTGACATTTAAAAGTGTAATTCTAGTAAGAGCTTTTCCTGATCAGAAATTTTCTCGACAGATGGGTATCTGTTCTTAATAACAGCCGGACTGAAGCCTTAGAGAAGGCTTTTGGTGACAGTGATAAAACGAAGTACATTCAGCATAAATACGCAATCAAATCGGGCGATAATACAGAAAAAATACTCCAGGTAAGTGTCTTATTGTATCTTTCCAAGGTTAGATAAGCACACGCTTCAGACCTCGCGTCGTGCATCAGCATGTGAGTTGAAGTAACCTGCGTAACAAGCGTTCCCCTTCGAATGAAGAGCTTTTTATGTCTTCTGGCAGCGCGCAAATTGGAGCAAACACAAAAAACAATCCATGAAGCAGGAAGCGGGACGAGCAAGAAAACGCTTGCCAGCAAACTCCTCGCTCGTCCCACCACCCCCGACTCCGTCGATTTTTGCTCTCGCCCCAATTTTCGCGCGACCAGACTTTGCTCGTTCGGTCTCTCCTACGCGGAGCGCTTGCTAAACAGGCTAGAGTTGAAGTCGCTGTACGATGTTCCCACTCGCCGACGGTTTTCTTTTTGGTCCTTCAATTTTCTTCCCTCAATTTTCTTCCCTTGTCGAAAACCTACCTTGTAGATATTGAGTGATAAAGTTGACTTTTACTTGTCGTTGTCCTCCGCAGGAGCTCCACCAAGCTGTCAAATCAAGGGATATTTTAGCTGTTTTACAAGCGTTTGCCGAGGGAGTGGAGCTGTCAACACCACTTCCTGGTCATGTAAGTGTCTAATCTACTCCTTAGTGCACATAAGTCACGTGTAGTTGTAGCCTGGGTACAGAATCTTGGTTGCTTGGGTTATAGGGCGAAGAAAAGAAACTAGGGCGAGAGAAGCGTGCCGAGAACGCCTTGCATACGGCTGGTACGCCTGGAATTTGAATTGACCAATCAGTGTATTAGCAGAAAAGGCATTTAAGTCGGGCAACTTTTCTCGTTGGAGATGGCATTGAATATTTACCAAAAGGGATTTATAATTCTAAAAAAAAAATAGATTTAAAAAGGGAAAAATATGTAACATTTTTTGTCTCTAAGCTTTTAATTTGGCGCCAAAAATGGGTCGCCCGCGCCCGCACTTCACTCGTAGTTCGTCAAGTGTCGTCAGGTAGGATAATAGTTGTGTTATTTTGAACAAAAATGTTGGTCCTTATCAAATTAAACCCAGAGAGTCGAGATAAGTATTAAAGGGGGCTTAAGTAACTTAAGCATTGTCTTTATTTTTTGTTTGCTTCGAATAAAAGACTATTTTCGTGTCGTTCCGGTAGGACAGCTCGGTTTTGACCGCCTGTCGTACTACGGGCGCAGCCACCGTATGCAAGGCGGCCCGTGGAGGAAATGGTAGCCTGCTCATAGACTATGTATAGTGGTGACTGTATACAGCAGAACCACAGCCTGCGATCAAGTTCCCTTGGTACTGTAGCTATCCTCTGGAAGTAGTGGTTACAGGGAAGGAGTATCTCAGACTTTTTCAGCCTCTACTCTAGGAGGGCTTGCTCGCCGCTTGCTTAACCCATTTAGCTTCTGACACAGTGGTCCATAACCTGTTAGCTTATGCTCCGAGACTCGGGATGTTCATCTAACGACTGAAGAACTTGGATTGTTTTTGATGTCGTTATGTTAAGAGGTGTGCTATTAGGCACCCAAAATGTTTCAGACAGACATAACATCCCTTTCAAATGTAGTCACATACGTTTCCATAAGCAAGCAAAAATAATTAAAAATTTTAAATTTTACGGTGTTCTATTATATTGTTTGTTAGAACACAAACGTTTACCCTGTAAAGCCAGACCGTTTTTGCTAAAAATGGGTCGCTCCGAAAGAACAAGACTTATACAAATTTCCAAACATGTAATAACCTTCTGTTTTCCCTTTGATTTTGTTTTTGTTCAGCCAAGTAATTCCACAGCACTCCATGTAGCTGTTGAGCAGGAAGACTTAACTTCACTTCA